AAACTACATCGCTATTTTCGAACCTTCAGTCTGGAGATAGCAATGTAGTTTCCGATGAGTTAGGTAATTTACCGGACAAAGCAGGAAAACTTCGAGAAAATTTTTTAGGTTCCCAGAATTTAGAATAACTGTAAATCCGGATACAATCCGGATTATAAACCGGATAACTAACACATATCTGGATATAAATTCGGATTGGAAAAAATGAAATAGGATATCTATCCGGATATCCGGTTTAGTATCTGGATCCAAGCACTAACTCAAAATGCCGAAATTATTTTTGGCAGCTGTAATCATTTTCGGCAGCCGAAATTATTTCTGTTGCGAAAAAAATAAACTCAATTTATTGCACCTAAGTGCCCACCTCTTAATTTTGACAAATCGAAAAGCAAAAAAAAAAACAATAGCTCTAAATTTTAATTAGGACCACTTCTGCAGCCTAATTAAGGATACTTCTTGTGAAATTTTCTAATAGAAGCCGCGTTTTTCTAACTTTAATCCTAACTATAGCATGCATTAATTTTACATGCAACTTCTTATATGTATCTGGTATGTTTTGACTGTTACGTTACATATGAACTTAATTTTGATTGGTTAAGAGAACAATTTTTGTGAGTGTGCTACCTAAAGTTTTTTAGATGACCTTTATAGATAATTGCATATATTTTTAATTATTATAGATCATAAATGCCCAGAGCATAGTGCAATGTTGCCTGATGAATGACGAAACCTTGAGTTTCGTTAGGCAACTTCGAATTGACGAATAATGAATGACGTAACTCATGATGAAACATAAATTTTATATGACAAATGTAAGAAAAATTTAAAAGGTGTGATATATCCTTTAGGAGTCATTGAAAACTAGTTAATAGAAATAAATTGGCCCATACGAACTTAAGGTTTGTTCATTATTATATCTACACAGTTTTTAAATTTTTTCGCATTTTTACCTGGTATTACCCGATGATTTATATTACTCACCCGGATGTATCTGAAGGTCTGACAAAGAAGAAACCGATGATTAAAAAACAGTGTTTTAAAAAATTTTAAAATTCAGAATGAACAGCGATCGTTATAAAGGAGCATGTTGAATGATAGGCAACTGCAATTTTGTTTTTATTGGACAAATTAATTTCGTCAAAAGTTACGTCAATCGTCAGTAGTTACGTCATATCATCAAGTTACGTCAGACAAAACCATTGACGAAACCATTTTGTCAGCCCAAAAAATTTCGTCATGTCTCGGCTTTTCTGTCTGTCTGTATCACTATATTTCAATTTGAACCAGTTTTGTTGGTTCTCATGGACTTAAGGATCGCTCAATTGCTTTCTTATTTTTTGCTTCCTCAATCTCAGGAGGTATTGGGGGACCTTCAATCCGCACAGGCATTATTAGCATAGTGGAGGACTCAATATCTATGTAAGGTGAGAAAAACATTACATTTTTTATGCATTTTTGATACCTTTTGATACATATGAATAAATTCAAAATAGTATCCAAAAATTTTTGCCTATCTGCACACGTTTATAATCTTGTACTTCAGTGTAAAAAGGCATGCCAGTATATAGTTGTTAATTATATGGGCTCTCAAAAGTAGAAACCAGGGAATTTAGCTGATCATGGGTTTTGAGAAAATCGGCAAAAACTATTTTGTTACACAAAATCAAAACAATCTAAAAATAGTTTATTTAATATTAACAAACCTGTTTAAACAGGATTATCAGATCTGTAGATCACTATCGCACGTATGAAATGTATGCTAGGTTATGCACGTTGTCGATCATAGACCATCAATTAACTTGACGCTCATCTAGGCAATTTATATTAATTAATCGAAGATTCAATTAAAAATTAAACTAATTTATTATAAAAAATTTAAAAAATTCAATGAATTTTTAAACATGAAATTTACTAAGATATTTTGTTAAACTTTTCAAAAAATATCCAATATTTATTATTAAGGCATTAAAATTGAGACAATAATTATTTTTTGCCCCTTACATATTTGTACAGGTCATATATATTTTTACAAATTAATAATAAATAAATCGCTTATCTCCATTGTTAATCAGAGTGTAAAAAATTACTTATTAAATAATAGATGACATAATTTGTACATCACTATATAAATTTCAATTTTCTCAATACCGTTGTTCTCTTTTGATTGCGAACTTTTCTCATACTTTTTCGTATCGGTTGTTTTTTTTTACCTTGACTGTAAAAAGCATTTCCCATATATTACTATACCGCTATTGTTATAGCTCAAGTCACAAGTATGGAAACTGGTGATGCTGTGGATAATATTTCACAGGTTAAAAAATTTTTATAAATGATAGATACCTATTTTTTTTAGACAAAAAAAAAAATTAGATGGTTTAAATTTATCCAGAATTTCGCTTTTTATGTACTTATCTATGTGAGAAACCAGTTTGTAATAGAGTTTTTTAATTTTGACAAGTTTTTTACGATCAGTTTCGTACTACTATACCAAGCTCTTACCTGTCGCAACCCTCTGAAGAGTTATTTCTAATAGGAACACAAGATTATCTAACAAAACCTGTAAGATTAAATATATATTTAATATATACGTATGATATAATAATAATTTATTAGAACGCTTGATTCATTAAATATGCACATGATTTATTTATTTTATAGATCTTTTCTTGGGAGTTATTACCGGAAATTTTGAAGCCAGTTCTTCCCATGAATTATACTTACCTAATTCAAAATTTTAATAATCTTATCCCGTTTCGGACAGAGGAAAATTTTGAAGTACCTAATTTTAAACTAGATGCATTTGTCAACGTTAATGATATAGAAAAGCATGTGAATGGTTCGCTGAATTCCATGCCTGGACCAAAACGACGATGCCGGAAACAAAAAGATTTGAAATTAAAGGAAAACATATACTTTTTAGAGAACTACGTCACTGTATCCACAGCAATAAAGTAAAAGAAAAGCAGGGCCATCGTGAAGTAAAGAATTCACATTCTTCTCAGGCAAGAAATACACATTGTACTGCCACTATCCATCTTCGACTAGAGCATCAACGCTTTCACTAAGTCATCCATTAGAAATCAATATAGAATTTATATACAATCATGTTATTAATTCCGCATCATTATTAAGTTTTTGACATGTTGATAATCAAGTCCGTAAGAAATTTATTGCCTTATTCTGGGATGGGCACTCTTCAGCTTCAGCATTACATGTTTTTGAATATGAGCTCTATTTAAATATTACAAATGAACAGGAGCTATTGGAGATTCTAGCAGATTGAGTCTATAATTCAGGTTACGATTACATTGCTAAGTTGTTTCAGCAGTATCAAGATAATATGCTTGGGGTCATAATGGAAAATTGATGTTTGAACGTCTAGCTGCCATAGTTTTAGAATATAACAATTCGGGTCGGGGTAAAGCGGTTCTACAGGAGTACAATGCTAATTCTGAAAATGTATTTATTCTATGCATTGTTATGAATTTGATGGCTCGAATACATGAAAAGATCCCCCAGGCACAAGAAATCTGTTATATGGACGCATCTGTGTCTTTTGATCCTCTTAACACATCTATCACACTCTTATATACAAGCTGTGCTGCCGGTGCTCTCCCACTTGGACTTCTTATTACGTCGAATAAGCAAGAAATTACAATAGAAAAAGCAGTAATAATTACTATATTTAAAGAAAAAAAAATTTATTTATATTATTTATTTTATTATTTTTTTATTAATGTTTATTCTGTTTTACTTATTTACTATTTAGTTAACTTTGTTAAAGACGATTCTCCCGCCGTATGCATTTTATGGATGGGGACCACAAGTTGGGCCAACAATTTTTTTAACTGATAATTCTAATTCTAAGCGTAACGCTTTAAAAACATGCTGGCTAGAAGGTAATTAATTAAGCAGCTTAATTAGTAAAGAAAATTTTGTATCATATACATGAGTATTATTATTTTTATAAGCAAACTTTAAATGCTTTTCATTTTGTTATTCTGATTATTCGGATCCAATTGTTTAATAAAAATTTTTTAACTTACGTAGAAATTCATTTACTGTGTACATTCCACTTTTTACAAGCATTTTGGCGATGAATTCATAATTCCAAACACCAAATTGAGAAAGAAGATCAGATACATATTATGGGAAGTATAAAAAAAATTGTGTATTCATTATCAAATTCAGAAATAGATATGCATTATGAAAATTTTAAGTGGAAATATTATTATAAATACTCACAATTAAAAAGACATGTTAAACATTTATAGGAATATTGACAGTTTTTGGCTTTATCTTTTTGTCTCGGGTTGCCTTTACGTGATAACAACACAAACAATTATATTAAACGAGGCTTTGGCATCATAAAAGATATTGTTTTTACAAGGACGCAAGCTTATAATCTAGTACAAATGTTCCAGTTTATAATAACAAGTATGGAACGATTTTATGAGAGGAGGTTGATCGGAATCGCAAACATGTATCCGGAAATTTTATGTATAGCAAAACGTTTTTTCTGCCCCGGATGGGAAACAATTGATCCTAATACAATTCAAAGAATGAACATGGAGAATGAATATTTGGTACCAAGCACAAAAGAAAATAATGGTACAAATTATATTGTGAATAGTGAGATTGGCGTTTGTTCTTGTCCTATTGGAATGTTCGGCGCCCCCTACAAGCATCAGGGGGCTGTTGTGGCAAAATTTCATGTTTCAATATTCAATTTTATTCTGTCACTAATACTGAATGATTGTGCAGTTTATGCATATATAGCCCTTGGTAAATATGATTATATAATCCCCCAATATGTGGCATCATACAATATAAATTGGGTTAGTTGTTTTCAAAATTCTTATTTAATTACTTTATTTTTAGGCTATACTACCCAGAATAAGTCGTTCTATATATCATTATATGCACGGCCTATGCTAAGAAATCAAGAAATTTTATACACTAGAGATAAAGTGGAATCATCAAGAACTGAATGGAAGTAGGTTTTTTTATTTTTTATTGATCAGAAAATCATATATTTTACAGTTTTTTTATGATTTCAGAGAACCTAAAGTACTGAACGAAGAAAGTGAAGACACCATGAAAATCAATAATTCCAATTTTACTTCGTTTTTGGAAGAGGTTCGATCAGATTATCAAAATGCTGACCAACTGTTGAAAATTGCACTAGATAAGTTTAAGGATCGTTACAATTCAGCAAAATCAAAATCTGTTTTATGACTATCTTCCTTCCTTTATGACATTAACCGCAACCTAGACTTTATAGCTCGTATCAAAAGTGGCGCCCATATTCGTGTTCAAGTAGAATTGATCAAACGATGCAGTATCAAGCAAAAACTGGCTGTTGAAAATAAAGAAAATAAAAATCTGGATCCCCAAATTATTCCTACTCGTAAGAAGAGGAAAATAGGCAAAAAGGTACATAATTTACACATGAATGTATCTAAAAATCAGTTAAATTGAAAATGAGGCGACATTGATGGGATTATAGCTTTTATGAATATAATGCAATTTTTCAAAAGCATTGGAATATCTGATTCATTTTTTTTTTTGAAATGATTTAAATAAATGTTTTATTCCATAAGTGCCATATATTTTAAAGTTACAAATTGATTATGATACATAAATTAATTAAATGACTTTTATAGTATGTAAATTTTTAAAATCATTCTTATGAGTAAATATCGGGTATAATCTGTAAGTTACAAAAATTTTAAGTCTCAATTTGCTATAAAGAGTGAAAGAACCAAGTATCACCCTAAAGATCAGTTACGTTTTATAGCTCAAGATATATTATAATTCTGATTTTATATTACTAATTTATTATTACATAATAATTTCGTAATATTTGCAAAGACAATATTAGTAAAATTATGTTATCAGTATATCCAATGTTGAATTAAATTTTCAAACACTAATATGTAACTGATTTTTAGGGTGATACTAGGACGGTTATAAAGAGTGTGCATTTTGGGATGCATGGTCAATATTTATCAGTTTATATATTCTTTTGACAGACTGTATTCCTCCATTTATTATTCTATTACAACAGAAAAAGAAGCGTAGATAATTGAAATAATATAAAGAGAAAGCTCTTTTTATTTTTATTAAAAATTTGCAATTGCAATAAATTAAGCACGTAGTTTATTTAAATTTTAAAAATTTTAAAGAATTATATATAATTACATAAAAATTACGATATTATTTATGCAGCTTACAAATTTATTAATGCGAATACTCGCGAGTTAAAAATTTTATTCGAGTCACAAGTTGAAAAGTCCAGTTACTAGTATGTACATATAATAAAAAGCAGATATTTTTTGAAAAGTTTAACAAAAATATCTTAGTAAATTTCATGTTTAAAAATTCATTGAATTTTTTAAATTTTTTATAATGAATTAGTTTAATTTTTAATTGAATCTTCGATTAATTAATATAAATTGCCTAGATAAGCGTCAAGTTAATTGATGGTCTATGATTGACAATGTGCATAACCTGGCACACATTTCATATATGCATCACTATCGTACTGTCATTTGCACAGGGTCACGTAAAAATTGTAAAAAGATTAGAAAACAATAAACCACATTATAAAACAATTTTTGCTTTTATTTATGCATGGTACAAAAATTCACAAATTTGATTGGTTAGCTATTTTAATTCACCAATTACTTTGTGTATTTATTTGTGTAATTTCACATGCAAAAACTATTGTGATTTATTTGTCTTTAAAAATTCATACATCTATGAATTAATTGGTGTAGGGCGTCCCCAAAAACCCTTCCCAAACCTTAATTCTAACCCTAACGTGAAAAATTTTGCGTTAAAAATTTTATATAAACATAATAAAAAAATATGATAGGTGCCAAACCATCATAGGTATGTTTTATAATAAATGCGCTGAATAATAAATATGATAAAAATAAACACTATTGTAATTGAAATTAGATAAATTTTATTTTGCAATAAAAAACATTTTTTGCTATTACCCAAAACATTTTTTCTCATTACTCAAAACAATTTTTACGGGTCCCTGCATCTGCACCAGTAAATCTATTTTTAGATTTTAGCGTCAAAAGCTTTTAACCGTTGTATCGCAAAAATTTATTAAGTAATCAGACTTTCATTATTAAGTAAAAAAGATTGAGCTTCAAATTTTATACCTGATCAATCAAGCAGGTTAATTTTTAAAAAATTTTCAAATTCCTTGGTTTCTACTTTTGACGGCCCATAATGACTTACAGCGTTACGCATTATCTAGTACTAGATAATAAAATAACTATTATCATTTTAAATGTTTCATTACTTTAAATTGTTTTATAATTTTCGGCAAGCCCAAAATTTTTAGACCCACATGTATATACCAAAGGCGAACATGCATCCGAGATAAGCGAAAGAATTAGATCAAGGTTACCATGAAAAAATATAAGAAAACTAATTAGTAAGTATGAAGCAATAAATAGTAATCAAAAAAAAACTTGAAATATTGGCAGTTAAATTTACAATGACGCCAATAAATAATTTTGGCATCCGAAATTATTTTCGGTAGCCGAAATTATTTTAGACGGCCTAAATTATTTAGGCAACCGAAAATATTTTAGGCAATTTTTATTTACAGCAAGCCAAAAATAATTTAGGCACCCATCTATAGCTTACATTTTTTTTATACAGCTAATAATAAATAAAAAATTTCTTTTTTTTACTGTAAATAAATTCTTATCAATTTATTTGCACAATACTGCAGTAGAATTACATGCGTGGTGAAGAAACTTGCCGTGCATATAAGAAAATATTATATATTTCCTCAAGCAACCTTATTCTAATCAATTTTCCGACGAAGCATTATTAAACGCTCAACCCATTGATCATTGTTACCGTTAAGCTCATCAGACCTTTCATTTTCTCTTTGGATATTGGTAACATCACTGGTAACATCACCAGTAACTTCAACATTATTATCAACATGTTCATTTAAAGATAAATAAGTCGTATGTTCGGGTATTTGAATTTATACTTTCGTGAAACAGCAAATATATGATTGCATGTTGTTGAGCTTCTCATAAAAGCTTCACAATCGTAGCCCAAATTAAAAACGTTATCATTAGTATGTTCAACGAGATAATCTCCTTCACCTTGAGCCGATTTAACAATATATGTAGACTCTCCTAATTAAAAAATTGACTAATTTCAAATTTTCAATAGCTATTTTGGTATGAGCTTATTCGTCCAACATCTAATTTACACTGAACGATTTCTTGATACAATACTTTTACTGCTAATTCATGAATAAGAAAATCAATATGTATATTAAGAAGAGCCATAAAGTAAAGATACTTGTTTTTTTATAATACAATTTGATGTAGTTATTTGGGGTTTGGGTCAAAATCCCGACAAACAAAATCCCGACAGGTCATAATCCCAACAAAAAATCCCGACAAATCCCGACAATCAAAAAAAGTGTTCGTTGAGCAATTTTACTATATAAAATCACATATACCCTAACCCTAACCTAGGAGCACACCCTAACCCTAACCTATGCACTCACCTAATCTTACCCTAACTTAAATAAACAATAATTTTTTGTTGTCGGGATTTGTCGGGATTTTTACTGTCGGGATTTTTTTGTCGGGATTATGACCTGTCGGGATTCTGTTTGTCGGGATTTTGACCAGCACCCAGTTATTTGTATTAATTCCATGAACTTTATCATGTTGATAACAATCGATCCAAAGCTCTGTAATTATTTTTTAATAAATTAAAAAATAATAAATTAAATTTTTAATAAATTAAAAAATAATAAATTAAATTTTTAATAAATTAGAAAAATTTATTTGTACCTTTTTTTATTGATATTATGTATTAAAATATTGTATAGCTGATGTATGTTTCCATTTTTGTTTGAACTGATTAATTGCATTTTCTATGTAAAATATTTGATAATGTATACATGTAACAAATTTCATTAATTTCGTATTAATTACAGCTTAGCATGTTTGGAACTTTAATTCATCTGCCTATAAAATTATGACAAGCGTTTAAAATCTATAAGCAGAATCTGCTGAGCGCAAATTGAAAATCCATAAATTTTCTTGATTATCCTAGCTGCCGTAACAAAATTTCACGGCAGATTCTCAACTTTGATTGGCTAAGGCGCCAATTAAGTAAGAATTTGTTCCTGGACCAATTTTACCATAGTGCGGGCTCATTTTTCATTAATTTCTATTTTTGTAATGTAAAAATCGAAAAGTTAATTCCGGCCGAAAATTAATAAATATTTTGTAATGCGGGTCAAAATATTTGTAGATCACGGGCCGTTGGCCAACCAAAATCGAGAATCTGCCGTGGCAATTTTGTTGCGGCAGTTATAGTTAATATTTCATGGAACTTATGGATTTTATTATTCACAAATGTCATGCATCTTTTTTTGATAATTTAAAACACTGATTGTGACACTACTACGTAATATGTACAAACCATACCATTGTTGTGCTGTTACAGTAAATGCAAGAAATTCTCTATTGTGCAGCTAATGACGAATAAGGTAACGGGAGGTATAATGGCGCACCTAAGAACAACTGATAATAAAATTTTCCAAGAGAGAGTTTATCACTTACAAAATTTATAAACTTGTCCTTCTACTAATGTACTTTAATTAAATTTAAAAAAAAAAATGCTTTTGGTAATAAAATTTATGTTCTTTTATTACACGATTAAAATCATTGAAAAATTGTAAATTACAAATCGGGAGGGTAATTTGGCGCACCACCCTTATACCCAATATCACCCAGTCTAACCAAAAAAATCAGTAAAATGCAATACGTAATCGTTACAAGAATATACCAAGATATCACTCAATAGTGG